TGTGAATGAACAGTGGGTTTTGCGCCAATTCTTCACGTAGACATTTGTAGCTAACTGAGCAGCCAAAATTCAGCACTTTACAGATGCGTTACAATGCAGATATGTGAAATCGGAAGAAAACACTTTAGACTTCACTTCCAGGGATATCGATCTACATAAAACTGAGCATCATAAACTTTAGAGAAATGGAACTTCATTATTAAGAACAATGCTGGTTGATTTATATATTACTACATCTGAGTCAGGTGAAGTTTATCATAATGAGTTAAAACAGTTATCAAATCAAACTCCTTCAGTGAATGAAAACTCTCAAAAAGACTCTCATTCAAATTATTTTTTATTGCTGGAACCTTAAATAATATTCTTTTTCACAATGTTTTTAAATATTCCAAATGCTATATTGGTATTTGCATTTTCGTTATTCATCCAAAGAGCAGTTAGCCTTCCAATTGCACTCCTCGGTCTTCGAACAACATATTGGGTAAATGCAAATGTTCTACCCATAAATGCAAAATGAACAGTACCTATTATGTGCAAAATCCCCATTGTTATCTATGACATCTTGCCATCTTTCTGGTAGGAGATGACTCCCACGGCGGTAAAATTCCAGCGGTTTTGAGTCAAAAAAAGTCTTGGATGGCAGTTTTCACAGCATCAAGATCATCAAAGATTTTCTGACTGAAGGAATTGTTCAATGCACAAAATAGGTGGTAGTCAGTTTGTACCAAGTCAGGAGAATAGGGAGGATGGGGTGAAACCTCCCAACCAAAGCCGAATAACTTTTGGCGAGTGATGATAGCAGCATGTGGTCTGGCGATATCATGATGAAGGATAACATCGCAACAATTGATGAGACCTGCCCGCTTTGCTACCAAATTTAAAAGCAGCCTGTCTCACTGTAGATAGTAGAAGGGAGCAGTGATGGTTTGGTTGAGAGGCAAAATCTCCCAGTGAATTATTCCCAGCACATCCCACCACACACTCAATAACACCTTCTTGGGATGAAGTTCGGCTTTTAAAATCGATGCAGGCGGATCAGAAGGGAGACACACACTCCTATGATGCTTTATGTTACGGTACATAACCCACTTCTCATCTCCTGTCACAATTCGTTTCAAGAATGGGTCATTTCTGCAACGGGAAAGCAAGGAAATGCAGGTGGCGATTCGGTCATCCCGTTGATTAGCTGTCAGGTTATGTGGAACCCAACGATCCAAATTTCTCGTAAAACCCAATTTAACCAGCCATCTCTCGACCATTGTCTAGTGTACGTTGAAGGTCTTCACTAATTCTTGCACGGTTGGGTTGTTCTTTATGTCTTGGTCAATATAGTCTTCTTTAACGTGTGATGGCTGTTCATTCCTAGCCTGATCTTGGCAGCTTTTGTCTCCTTCCCAAAATTTGCAAAACCATCGACGACATGTGCTTTCATCTATTGCATCCTCCCCATAAACTTGACAAACATTGCAACTTGCAGCAGCTGCCGTACTCTTTTTATTAAACTCGTATAACAGTGTCTTATATGCTTCTTCTCGCTTTCCATGTTACACCTTCCGAGTTTTTTTTTTTTTTTTTTTTTTTCATATGATTAACTATGAGAGACATGATGCATTTATATGTGAGGCATCCATACGTTTGATTGGCCGACAATTTTCGTCATGCGTGACGTCAATTCCATTGCAAATTTGCATAACCAAAAACAGGTAGAACTTTTGCACTCACCCAATAGAAGATCTAGGAGGAACCTGCTAGGAGATTATTTATGGAACTACTATTCATCTTCCCATACAATTTTTGCAATCAACTTAAATTTCTAATTCTGTTGACTTGATTTCCTTTATGCAGATTTTGTGCGAGGCAATGATGAAAGATGGCACTGTTACCTACATCAGCTCATGTTAACAATAAATATTTGCGGACCCAGCTTTAGATTTGTGCATTCACGTGTTTGTGAGCATGATACAATGAAATCACCACTGACTCGTCCACATGATGGCCCATTCAAAGTAATAAAAATGGTTACATTTACACTTCTTATTAAGGGAAAAGAATCAGTGATTGGCACTGATAACCCGAAGACATTTTTAGTCTCAGACACCCCAGCATCAGTTCCTGTTCCTATGCTGACTCCTACAATAAATCCACCAGGCAACATGGTTGAAATGCCTATGCTAGCAACCAAATATCACCAGTGCAGACTACTCTTTTTCTGCAGAACAGTCAAGTTCAACCCGAGATATCTCCGACCCCTTGTGCCTCCAGCATGTACAGGAGTACTTTGGGAGAACATTCTCACTGCAGCAAGTGGCAATATCCATTTTTGCTGCACAGTTTACATGTTTGTAGTTAATGTTTGATGTCAGTTCCTGATTGTGTACATTTTAAATATTTAGCCTACTGCAAGATGCATTTTTACCTTTTCAAAAAGATCTTTTACTATACCACGAAGTCCAAAAACCAGATGTTCAATATCCAAAAAGATCTAATATCTGCACCTAAAAGCCACTATTTTTTTTTTTTTTTTTTTTTTTTTTTTTTTTTTTAAATTTTTACGTAAATGGAGAAAGAATTAGATTCTGACAGTAATGGCTCCCTTTTGCATATACAGTAAATACACTGCATATGCTTCACACATGTGGAGTTGACATATTTTCCTAGCATGAGGGACCTGATTCTTTATTTCATGTCGGCACTAAATAAAATACGTCCATGTTCAAAAAACAAACTCCACGCTCCGAAATCCAGAAAACATCACTACACATAACGAAGAATGTGACAGAATAGGTTGCTGAGAATGAAAATTTTGATTGAAGATTTATTGAGATTTTTCGACGCTCCAATTACAGGATTTGAACAACAGAATTTAGTAACTAAAAAAATTATGTCTATCTATACATTTAAAGGGAAGGAATAAGCACAAAAAAATTAAACAACTTACACTGAATGAAATGTTTATTAACCCTCTAACTATGGTGGTTGTCAATAAGCAATTTACTTAGTCTGCCGCATATTCCGGCAATCATCAATAGACATTTTACGGTTTTAGAGCGAGCGGCTGGTTTATCAGCCACGGTAAAAAAGAAAAAAAAAAAAAGCATTTCCAAAATTTTACAACATTTAGATGTGGTCAAATACAGCTGAAGAAATTGTGCAAAATTTTGGCTCTAAAGTGAAAAGACAAAAGGAACGAGCATTTTATTTCCAAATTTCACAAAGGAACATTGGTTGTTGTTGTTGTCATGTCCATTTTACATGGAACGATGGTTGGCAGAGCCTACTCCGAAGAGAGGTTGGACTTCTATTTTCCACCCCCAATTTTGACGAAGAGCACCCCAGGGGGGATCCAGGGGTCTCCCACCCTTCTCCACTCCCAATAACCCACACAAGAGGACTTTCGGCTCCGCGCATATTTAGAGTACCGTACCGACACTATACATTTACAAACATCCATGTTTTCTCCGGGATTCGAGCCTGGGCCCTTCAATATCGTAGTAGGCTCCCCTAACCACTATACCATCTGGGCAACAAGGAACATTGGTGGATAGTGGAAAAGAGAATCATACAACCCAGGAAAGGATTATGAAACCAGACTACACCACAAATATGAGACGTAGACAAAGCTGACATGCAGCTATCTTTTGTAGAGAGTGTTCATAAAAGTGTGAACAGGTATAAAAGTTTTTTTTTTCCATGTGTTAAGACATTTCTATTTTGAATTTATAATATATTTCTGATAAAAACAAGAAACAATAATGTCATTAAAAGAATTTATTAACAACATTATACAGCAAATTTTGTCATAACACAGAACCTTTAGTCTAGTTCGATCTGGTACATGAAGGGGAAAATTCCTTGGACAATTAGCCACCAATAATTTCATTGAAATTCATTTTTTGGACAATGTTCCTCTCACTGCTGGAAGACGAAAAGGCCAAAGAATATGCCATGTTTGTAGTCACACTACCAAAGCCAAATGTGTGAAAACTTGGTTGGTTTGTGCCAAGTGGGTTTATGCATCAGACATTGTTTTAGAATATACTAAAGTAAAAAAAAAAACTTTGGATATTAGCCGTTTATGTGACTTATAGTTCATAACAACATTTTATTTAGTCTAAGTTTATATGCTAGCAGTTTTAATTCGTATGTTTATAGGATTATAAGTTTAGGCAAATATCTATTATAGATATTTAACATTAACAGGGTAACATTATATCCCTAAACAACATTATATTATTTAGGAATATAATGTTACCCTTTTCTTTTTCTGTGATACTTCCAATCTCTCTGAAGCTAAATACAATATGAATTAAAAAAAATTGCAGTATCTAAATTTTTGCAAATTTTTTAGTTTGGCGGTGAAGTCATGCATAATTTTACCCACAGTTTTTAAAAGGGTTAATGTTGACATATTTTTCTAAATTTTGATTCTCTTATTATCCTAAATTCTTCATTATTTCATATTTTTAATTTTATAATTTCTATATATCACCTTACTAGATTTAAATTGATAATCTAAAATCTGGAAAGTTCTGAAATCCAGAATCACCGAAGTTCTATTATATATTGGAATTAATGGATAAAAATTAAATATTGATGGGAAAAATCTAGAAACCAAATATTTGGCTAAAGGGTATGTGCTTTTTAAGTTAGACACTATAGGGAATTCTAACTTTGTGAACTTGGGAAAACATGAAACATAGTACAGTTAACAACAACCATGACAGCACTGCCATCATACCATTTCATTCTCCAATCGACTATAAAAAATAATCTATTTTCTCTTTTAATAATCTTCTTCACATCAAGATAGTATATAAATACATAGTCATGACAGGACTTCTTACGAAGTAATTAATAGAAAATATAAATGAAAAGTAGTTCATTCATTTGCAAGTTGACTTTGGATAGTAGAAACCTCAAAGAATCATGATTTTACCATACATTAAAAAAATTAAATGCTTCCTTTAAATAAAATAATTTGTTCCTTAAGACACACTTACCTATAAGCTGCTAGCAAACGAGAAAATACGGAATCACCATCAAAAATATACAGATGATCCCAACTACATTCAGTTTCAAAGTGTGCTACCTCCAATCTGATTGTGCTGTTAGGTGCACCACTCTCAATAAGCCAAGTGCACTGCATGTCCACACTATAGTTACCTGTGCCATCGATTATAAAACCAGAAGGCTTAGTTAACCTGCAAAAAACATTTAATTTAAATAGTAAACACTTTCAAAGCAAATTATGAAATCCCATGCAAATAGGACAAATAATTTTAAATTTCTTATTTAGGTATTGATGAGACTGTTTTAGGAAAATACAAACTAAAGAATGAAACCAACTGAAAAAAATTAATTATGATACAGAAATAATTTCCCAACAAAATAACATATGTTCTTTTAAGTTTCAAAATGTAATCAACTACCTCCATTTATTTTCATAAACCAATTAAGCAAAGCAGATAAACAGGATGCATCGTGCACACATATAAATTTATGTAAAATAATAACAATAATTTTATTTAAGATGGTTCTTTGACAATTAGAACACGCCAATGAAGCACATTTCACTTTTGCACAGACACAACCCATTTATCAGCAGGATTATATTACAGTCTTAATACATAATAATATAAGAAAGTAAAAGCTATTGTAAAATAACTGCACAAGAAATGTAATTTAAAAGAACTGCGATTTCAAAACACTGCTTTTCATTCAAAATGTGGAAGTTCAATATAGCTAATTTTGAAAATTTCAAGCACAAAGTTTTTTTTAATTTTATATTAGCAAGTTATGAAAATATAACATTTTATAAAATTTTATTTTAAAACATTTAGTTTTTAATTCCGTCTTTTAAATTTTCAATATTAAACCTCAATCACAGAGTTATGTAAACAAGTTAATTATCTAACCCAGCTCTGAAAGCAAAGTGTGCAGTCAATAATGTCTAGAAGCATTAGTAATCCTTAAGCTGACTGATTCTTTTCCATACATACACACATAAAAAAAACTGACATATGAGAATTAACAAAATCATTTTCTAAAACTAGGAGTTTTATTCAACTACATGGACGGGGGATCCTGATTTCCAATACCTTCATTTTCTGTCATAATAGTCTCATACTCACCTCAAGAAATTCAGAATTTCATCTCACAATAAGCCCACATTTCAGTTTGTCCCTACTTGTCACTAATGACCTCATCATTAAGACTTGAAACAGCCCATATGGTAGAAATTGAAGCAAAAATGCATAGCTTCTTTCCTTTTGTATTCGATTTCATTTTCGGTTAAAATTTGATGCACATTATACAGTGTTACATACTTTCTGGTAGTTGATCAAATGCTACTTAGATCATCACAGATGGCGCAAAATTGCTGACTATGCAGATAGTGGCATTTACATTGAGACCCCCGAGGAAAAATGGCACTCCGTCAATGTAGTCCAGATCACTGCTCAGTTCTCAGAAGTGACCTGATAGCAATCAATTTAGGACTCAAGGTATACTAACGGAGAATAATTTTGAGTGAAAAAGATAAGTAAAAATTTAACTTATTTCTTTAAGAATTCAGTTTATTTTAGGTGTATGTAGCAAGTTGCTACAATACATTTATGTTTACTCCAAGCAAGGCTGTAAGTTTAATTTAGTGAAAAAGCTTTTCTTGTTAATGTAATCATCTACTTTTAAGGATTTTAATGTTTGTATTTTAAACATGATTGTGTTACTTTAGCCCAAAAGACTAACAAATTGAAAATGTTGATACGAATGCAAAGCAAATAAGAGCAACTATTATATATGTATATGAAAAGTTTGAACTAAATAAAATAAACTTTTGAATTGTAGTATGCTAAACGAAGTTTAATGTTCCGAATACATGAGTTACATTAATTACTGTATCATAAAAGTTAAATGTGTTCTGATGGTGTTTACTGTGAATGGGAAGTAAAAGCTAGGATACTGTAAATGAGGTTAGTTAAAAATCAGGCTCTCCAGCATTAATAAAATTTAAAGAAATTTCAGTCTAAAACACTAGATATAAATTTTTGAAATACAGCATCACTGAGGTCTCGTCTCCAATGCTTATAACCATGGAGGAATTCAGTTGGCAGGTAGTTGTTAAAAATACTACACTTTTACACACTGGTTTACCCATCACAATGCTGTACAGTGGGATGAAAAAGCTTGAGAGAAAGCACAAATTCTGAAAAGTTATTTTTGTAACTGAATGTTGTACAGCTGAAATATTTCTATGCCTAAACTATTTTTCATTCCAGGTTATTGGAAGCTTAGGTTCTGAATGCTTTATGAAATTAACTCAAAACTATAGCGTAAAATTTTCAATTGCAGATATACGGAAGAAAACTCTTTTTAAAACATATATTATAACTATTTAATGATTGAAAATATTTCCAGACAGGAAAGATACAAGAACCATTTTTTTTTTTTTTTTTTATCTGCTGCTGCCTTCCAAGAACCTGCTGTAAAAGAAGGAAGAGAAATGACTTTCCAATCTTTTTTTCTCATCAATCTTTAAAAAAAAAAAATCATTCTCCGAGAAGAACAACTATCAAGTTTGGGATCAAGTCTTTAGAACACAAAATTCAAGGCAGATTTACACTTTCACTGAATGGTTGATCCCTCAACCAGTGATGAAACTCGGAATCACAGTAATACAAATACTGCTAATTATGATGCAATAAAGTGTTGCTGTAATGAACTATCCTAGGATGAATGGTATACTCCAAAGTATCAGGACAACATAAATCATTACTTTTTTATCTTAGTGATAATTCAACAGCTACATCTAATATGTACACAGATTTTCGACACACTTTTGCTGCAAAATTTTAGGCTTGATATACAGTCAAAAGTCTTTAATCCGGACTTCGGCGATTCCGGATTATAGATCATCAGTTTAAATCTGGTAAGATGGCATGCAGAAATTATAAAATTAAAAATATGAAACCATAATCTATGAAATAAAGAGCAATTATGATCTAAAGGGTATCAAAATTAACAAAAAAAGCTTAATATTTATTTGTTTACTTTATTAAACATTTCTTTCAACGTGCGCATGCATAAAACATACATTATGCATAGTCGAAATTAGAAAATTGCAAACAGAAAACTATTTGATTTGTATTCGTGATATTTATAATGAAGAGGAATTTTATTTAAATCATATCAAAGACGGAGTAAATCGAGATGAAATACTACATTTAATAAGGAATTATAAGCCAAATAATATAAAAACATCTGCCCTGAAGATAAGGATAGTGCTGACAGATCAACTTCCAGTTCATTGCGCGCCATGACATTCCCTCCCCCCGGGCAGAGCAGCGTGAAATTGATAAACAGATTTCGGAATGGTTAGAGAAACAAAGGATATACCTTTATCCATTTTTTGCAGCAATTCCACTTTTTATTTGATGCACATCGAAACATGCTTTTGCTTTGTAGACCCTTTGGCAGCTCCACCATCGGAAATTCTTTTTGACATAATCGAAAGTTCACGCTTACTTTTATAAAATTGCTCTAACAATCTGCAAAAAATAATAAGCCGGATCCAATTCCAAGATTAAGGAAACAACACAATCTGCAACATTAACTGAAATACATAATTAGATCATTTTAGCTTAGCTTATACCGTCCGTTATACATTAAATGCGCATGCGTAAACGTAGCATGCGCAGAAAATTTGTAGCTTTGAGGTCCAGATTATAGATCATTCGGGATTATGGACGTCCGGATTAAAGACTTTGTACTGTTATGCATGTGTAAAGGCATATGCGCAAAGGTATTATGCGTATATTGAGTATTTGCAGCTTTGAGATACATTCAAGTAATGACAAAATATTATGACACAATGTATTATCCCTTTCATGGCTCTTCACATAACATTTATCACGATAATTACTGTAAATGGTCTTCTAGCACTGAAATTTTGAAAATCAAAACACTGGTCTGTGGTACTATAAGACAGAATCGGGCGGGTCAAAAATACAAAGAGAAAAATCAAAGAACTTTCCAAGACAAATGATTGTATGGGAAGACCAAAATCATATATTTAGTCAGACTTGGAAAAAAAGGACAGGCTATATGAGCAGAAAAAGAAGGCTACGAGCTATACGACAGACGAATAAGAAGCATAATTTAGATTTATATGAATGAGCTATTTTCTAGTGATAATGCTGTATTAAAGGGCAGGGTTAGAGTACAGAGAAGGGTATCCCTTGTATTATCAAGTTGTTTCATTTATCGCCAAGTCGTTGTTTCATTTATCGCCACGTGGTGGTTTATTTATGGTAGCCTGAATAGTTGAATGTTATGGAAATCCTATTATGATGCAATTGACTGCATGATTGTGGTGAATTTGTAAGGACTTGTTGTTTATTAGTTAGGAAGTACTTTGCTTGTTTTCTGGTTTAGATGGTAAAATGGCTGAATGTGGTAAGATTAATTTGAAGCTTCTGTACGATTTGGAAAGAAAGGGGAAAAAGAGCATTATTTGACTGGTGTGTAAATGAAGGTTTACTTAGTAGCCATTATTAAGTGTAATGTTTGTAGGAAGGAAATGTGTATGGTCGGATGATACGGCACTACAGAGGATATTTTTTACTCTTATTTTATGAATTTATGTGGCGACGCCAGTATACAGATTCTAGTTCAGATAATTTTAGGAAGTTTTTGGATGCTTTTAAAGAATTTTGTTTCACTGAAGACATGTTAATTCATAAATAAGATAAGTGGATATTTCCTTTGTGTAATGCAAAGATGAATTTCCTTTTTTATGTTATTTCATTATTTGATTTAAAATTATTGAGATTAAATATTTTTTTGTTGGCTACTCCTTTGACTTTTTAAGTGAATATAGTTTGATGTGTACATGGACAAAGTCAAGTGATCGCGCAATGCCTAGTTTGTGCAATTCTCCGAGGTTTTTTTAAGTGAAAATAGGTCAATATGTACATGGATAAAGTCAAGGGACTGCGCAATGCCAAGTTTGTACAATTCTGGTTTTTTTTTTTTTTTTTTTTTTTTTTTTTTTTTTTTTTTGAAGTGAAAATAGGTTGATGCGTACATAGATACCAAGTTTGTCAAATTCTTTGTCTTGTTATTTTGGCTTTGTGTAGCAGCGATTTTTGCGGTCAAAGAAATGCACAAACTCGGTATCCATGTACCACCAAAAATTGCCAAT